GGTGGTGGAGGCAGCTGGATCCTACATGGCAAACTATGCCATTCAAGACTCAGACCTGGTAGTTTGAAAAACATGCCACAGAGGCCAGCAGACGGGATAAGTGGTTACATTGCTTGGATTCCCACAAGGCTGACCACAGTTTGAGTCCAGGACCTGCTGGCTTGAAACTCACATTGGGCATGTGTGTATACATGCCCAAGATCCTGGGAACAGAGTGTATGAAAGGGGATTGTGGCATGGCCATCCCATCAGGGGGTGATTTCTCACTTTCTTTCTCACTGCTCACTGTCTCTCCCTCTCTCTCTCTGATGAGTACACACACCCTATAGCAAAAACCTCTCTCTCTCAAAAAAACAAAAAAAATAAAGTGGTGTGGCCTTCCCCCAGGGAGTGATTTCTTTTCTTTTTCTTTTTTTTTTTTGGAGAGGTTTTTCGCTATAGGGCGTGTGCACTCACCAGACAAACAAACAGAGAGAGACAGAGAGACAGAAAGCAAGAAATCACACCCCCCCGGGGGGGTATGGCCATGCTGCAATCCCTTCTCCTCCATTCTCCTCTTGGGATCTTGGGCATACACGCACACGCACCCAGCGTGAGTTTTAAGCCACCGGGTCCAGGACGCGAACCGTGGTCAACTACGTGGGAGTCCAGCGACACAGCCATTACACTAACTGCTGGTCCCCCCCCAGGGAGTGATTTCTCACTTTCCCTTTTTCTCGCTGGTAAATGTATGTGCCCTATAGCAAAACTAAATAAATAAAATAAAATCTAAAAACAAAAAACTACATGTGGGCCAGCAGGTGGTGTGGTGGTTAAGGCATTGGACTCTCACATGATTGACTATGGTTTGAGTCCTGAACCTGGCTGCTTGAAAATCACACCAGTACATGTGTGGGTGCTCACAATACCAAAAAGACAATGGAGGAGAAGGGACTGCAGTATGCCATTCCCCTGGGGGTGATTTTCTTACTTTCTCTCTCTCTGTATCTCTCTGGTGAGTACACTCGTCCTACAGCAAAATAATATAAAAAGAAATAAAAACTCTACATAATCTGACCCCACTTAACTCTCTAATATCATCTCATTTAAAAAAAATGATCAATATGGGGGCCAGCAGATGGGATAGTGGTTGCATCACTAGACTCCCACGTGGCCGACCACGGTTTGAGTCCTGGACTCAAGTCCCAGCTTGAGAATCACATCAGGCACGTGTGCGTGAGTGCCCAAGACCCTAGGAGGAGAATGGAGGAGAAGGGATTGTGGCACAGCCAACCCCCTTGGCCAGTGAATTCTCACTTTCCTTCTCACTGTCTCTGTCTCTCTCTCTCTGGTGTGCACATGCACTCGCTAGAGACAGAGAGATTGCCACGCTGCAATCTCTTCTCTGTTTTCCTTCTGGGATCTTGGGCATGTATGTACATGCACCCAGCATGAGTTTTAAGCCACCAGGTCCGGGACTCAAACCATGTCAGCTATGTGTGAGTGTGCAGCGCCTTAACCACCATGCCACCTACTGGCCCCAGTCTTTAAAATTTTCATAATAATGGTTACCAGGTATTCAGAGATGACTATCTACTAGGCATGGTGCTGACTGTTTTTATTTTTATTTTTTGCTAAAGGGTGTATATGCTTACCAGAGAGAGACAGCAAGAAAGTGAGAAATCACCTCCCAGGGAGGATGGCCATGTCACAATCCCTTCTCCTCCATTCTCTTCTCCTGAGTCACCACGCTACTAGCTGGCCCTCTGACTGCCTTGGATCATATAATTTAATTCTCTCCACCTCACCTTTAACATTCTCATCCACTCTCATCCCCATAGGATACACTGGCCTCATTGCTAGTCCTAGGCTATCTTACTCAGGCTAGGCGTGGCACTTACTATCCTCTCTGCCCAGAATATTTAAAATCTGTAAGCCTCTCTCTCTCTCTCTCATTTCACTGATGTTTGTGAACTAATGTTAACCTCACCAGAAAGCCTTCCCTGATCACATTGTCTAAAAGTACACATTACTGTCTATCCTTCATACTTGTCACTGATTTTCTTTTTACCACCAAACATAGGATGTATTTGTTTCTGGTTGTTCTCCCTCCCTCGACTGCAAACTCCAAGAGAGAAGAGATATCATTTTAATTACCACTAGATTGCTGCACCAAAAATGTGAATAGCATATACTTGATACTCACTTAAGATTTGGCACATGACTAAATGAACGGGCGAATAAATGCCTGACAACAAAAGGCATCCAAGGCAATAGAGGGAAATAAAAAAAGTATGAGCTGAGTCAGAGATAAATAAGAAAGGTAAATAATTCTATAAAAGTCTTGATGAAACAGAGGACAGCACTGTAGTATAAGCATGATAATTGGGATGTATGATTTGGGTATCTGAAGCATATAGAGCTTCTGTCCTCCTTTTTCAAAGAGCTAGGACCTCTGGGACCAGCAGTTAGCGTAATGGCTATGTCACTGGACTCCCATGTAGTCGACCACGGTTCGAGTCCCGGACCCGGTGGCTTAAACTCACGCCGGGCGCGTGTGTGTGCATGCCCAAGATCCCGAGAGGAGAATGGAGAAGGGATTGCGGCGTGGCCATCCCCTCTAGGGGGTGATTTCTCGCTTTCTATCTCTCTGTCTGTCTCTTTCTTTCTGGTGAGCATACGTACTCAATAAGAAAAGGACCTCTAAAAAGGGAACCCTGGAGGAGCAGATGGCATAGTGGTTAACATGCTGGACTCCCAAGTGGTCTACCACAGTTTGAGTCCTGGACCTGGTGGCTTGAAACTCACGCTGGGCGTGTGTGCGTGTGTGCCCAAAATCTTGAGAGAAGAATGGAGGAGAACGGATTGCAGTATGGCCATCCCCCCTGGGGGGGGTGATTTCTCGCTTTATGTCTCTCTGGAAAGTGCATGTACCTTATAGCAAAAAATCTCTAAAAAAAAAAAAAAAAAAAAAAGAGAGAGAGAGAGAAGAAAGAGAAAGAGAAAAGAGAGAGAGAAGAAAATAAGGGACCCCTGGAAAACACTGTACTAGGATAACCTTAGACCTGAATTCCTGAGACATTATTTCCCCTAGTTCCCTTATGTCTGGTTCTTGTTCACTTACCTGGATAACTATGGCCCGAGGACTCCTCTTCTAACATCCACAGCTCTTCTCCTCGCTCCAACTTGAAGATCATCTCTGGTTTAGCCATGCAGAGGCCTGTTAATAGGAAATGACATAGGACATGGGCCAAGTTGTCTGAGCTTCAGGACCTCTGAAATGGAGGAGGAAGGTGCATCTTCATAAGTTGCACAAGGAAGGGACCTATTTAAACCTTTGATTGGAGAAATAGGAACAGACATTTTTCCTTGTGCCCTAAGCTGATCAGTCATATGTGATCCTTGAATACGAAGCTGAAATATCACCAAATTCTATGGAGGTAGGGACAGCAGATAGTATAGCAGTTACATTGCTAGACTCCCACCATAGCCGACTGCAGTTTGAGTCCCAGATCTGGTGGCATAAAACTCACGTCGGGCATGTGTGTGCACATGCCTAAGATCCAGGGAGGAGAATGGAGAAGGGATTGCAGAGTGGCCATCCCCGCTGGAAGGTGATTTCTCACTTTATCTCTCATTGTTTCTGATGCTCTCTCTCTAGTGAGTTCACACTTCTAAAGGAAAAAAAAAAACCTCTTAAAAAATTCTGTGGAGGCTTCACATGTTACAGTAACTAAGAAAAGAAACCTATGGGGACCAGCAGATGGCATGACTATGTTGCTGGACTCCCATGTAGTAGATTGTGTTTTGAGTCCCAGACCCGGCAGCTTAAAACTCATGATGGGCAGATGTGCATGTGTGCCCAAAATCCTAAGAGCAGAATGGAGGAGAAGGGATTGTGGTGTGGCCATCCCCCTCGGGGGGTGATTTCTTGCTTTCTGTCTTTTCGTCTCTCTGGCAAGTACACATGCCCT